CAGCAGGAAAAATAGAATAGTCTGAAGTAGCCTGTGGGAACCGATCATTGCTTTTCTGCTGATGCAGGCTACTAGTACCTGGGCTTGTGGAGTACAGAGAAGCTCTACCTTTTTAGTTTTGAAAGGGAGGAAGCCAGGCTGGGCATTCCCACAGCATGTTGTGTTTTCAGAGCTTAAGGGAACCACCTCTTTTTTTTTCATAAGCATGGTTTGAATGACCCCTAGTGGAAGCTTCAGATAACCAGGATTTTTAGGAGTTAGGTCCCAACAAGAGGCTTCAGTTGGCCGACTTTAGACACTCACATTTGCAAACTGTGGCTGCTAATGGAGATGGGTTTGCATTCAGGTGGAACTGGGTTGAATCCATCAGCAACCTACATTCCTTATGTTGCATGCTGTCTACGTATATTCTTCATCATAGCACCTGAGTCTAATGTACATTCCTTCTCGCTGCTCTGTCTCTTTCCCCTTACCTGCATATCTAGGGTGGAAAAGCTTTATTACAGTTGTTGTACCCTTACTTTTCCTCCTTAGTGAGGCAGCCCAGTCTACCCTGTCTGTTGCATTGCCTTATCTCTACAGTGTCCTCCTGTCTGCTCTATACATGCTTTATGAGTACCTCTGTGTTGTCCTGGCACTGTTCAGTTATGGCAAATATTAGCTAAGGTGAAGAGCTGTGTTTTTAATGTTAAGAGGATATTTCGTCAAATTTCCCCAATGTGTATGCAAATCCCCACCACCATTTTCTGAAGTGGGAACTGAATTTTAGTGCATAATCTTCAGATTTCCCCTGCTTGCTTGATGCACATTGATCTGCTTAAGGAGCTTTGGACACTCCAATACCCTACAATTTAGGCTGTGCAAGGCAATGGTGAAAAAAAATCACAACCATCTATTGATAACCATCTATTTTTTTTGTCTTTTTTTTGGCAGGCTGATTTGAACACCAATATTGAAGATGAATCCAGATCTTTCTATGGCGTTTCCAGCCAATACGAGAGCCCAGAAAACATGGTCATTACCTGTTCCACCAAAGTGTGTTCCTTTGGAAAGCAGGTGGTGGAGAAAGTGGAGGTAGGGAGCAGACACCGGGGTGCAAGGTTCTCTCTGCCTGCTGTTTTGTCACTTCAAGAGTTTGCATTCTGTGTATATCTCAAGGCAAAATATATCCCATGCTTGTTGTCAGGGAGATGGATGCCATAAATTATTATTTCTGGGAAGTGCAGGTATAAGATTGCTCCAGCCTGCAACATGGCCTTGTCTCAGGACTTCATTGAAGGACTGGTAACATTTGATATTTTTCCCTTTAATCTCTTTCTGAAGGCATGTGAATACGTAAGACACTCAGCCCTGGTGATCCTCTGGGTTTTTTGGGAAGGAAATAAAAGATAGGGTAATTGGACCCTTGTTTCGTAGTCCAGAAAGGTGAAAATAAGTAGGCAATTCCTCAGTCTCATCAGTATTTTTAAACAGATAATTTATAGATTATGGTCATTAATTAAAAGACTGTAATAATTTACAGACTATAGTCTTATGGTTGTATGAGGCTTATCTTAGTGCATGTACACTTACAGCTCGAGCAACAGTGGAGCTGAATAATAATTATGCATCTGTCTGGCATTGAAGAAATTCTATCTGATGCTACATTCAGCTGCTAAGAGAGCTGCTCTGACCTGCTGCCTGCTGCTCTCTTTCTCAAGGAGCCTTTAGATGCTGCAGGAGTGGCTGTGTGCAGAACACCAGGTCTAATGGTGTCAGTAGTCAGTTCAGGCTACATCCTTCCCCAAGACTCGTCTTCAGCCATATGATAGGCATGCCTGAAGTCTGGTTATGTATGTGCACAATGGGATAGATGGGCCAAAGAAAAGTGCCACTGTGCACAGGAAAGAAAACCAAGCTCTTGGGGTGAAAGGAGGTAATGACCATTTAAGGGTCTGCTGTGAAATGATAGAATCCAGCCTCAGCTTCTGTTCAAAGGAAGACGGAATATATAGGAGCTAAGATATGAATGCGAACAAAAAAATCTCTCTGTGTAACATAGGCCAGATCCTCTCTTAAGACGGAGCAGAAATACTATGTTTTCTCTCACAGGTACCAAAAGGCCTTAATCCTTTCCAGCTGTGAAGCACTCTGAGCATATGATTACCATTGATATACTAGGAGCTTCTTGGTCTTGCTAAAGCAGTAGTTCCAACTTTTTCAGTTTATTCACACCTAATATTTTTTCAGTAGTGATGCAAACCATAGTGTTGCTAACGATTGTTCTGCTCCTCTTAGATACCTTTCACAGTTTCTGGGCAGTTTGCTGCTCCTAAGCTGGAAAAGAAAAAATAATTCAAGCTGAAGAAATTAGAGGACTCAAGGAGACAAACCTTGGTGCAAAGTACTGTAGAGGGATGATTAATCAGCTCATTACTGTTAGTAAAATGACTTGAAAATGCCATTGCAATTCTGAATCCCTTTATGTGATTAATGCTACTAATGTGACAACTTTATCCTCATGTGCCCCTTTTGTGTTTTGCATTGCAGACAGAGTATGCACGCTATGAAAATGGACACTATTCCTACCGCATTCACCGTTCCCCTCTCTGCGAATACATGATAAACTTCATTCATAAACTCAAGCACCTTCCTGAGAAGTATATGATGAACAGTGTGTTGGAGAACTTTACTATCTTACAGGTGGGACTTTCAACTGTTTTCATTGGAGCTTGGAAACATGTAAACCCCATGCAGGAGTCCACTGTTGTGGGTCAAAGCAGATTTCCTTTCACAGAGCAGCATCTTAATTGAACTTAGTATCTCTCACATGTATTGCACCTCGAGACTATTTTATGGAGCTCTAGAGATAGTAACTCATGCAGAGAAGCAACAGAAGAATTTGAGAGGCCTGAGTAAGAGAGAGAAAAAAAGAAATATGAAGGGAAAATGCATGCGGCAGAGAGATAAAGGAAGGAGAAGGATGCAATGGTTAGTGAAGGACACCATCCTGAACCTGGAAAGAATATGGAGGCATGGAAAGGAAAGGGTATGTTGGAGGAAGCTCTGTGACACCTTCATGAATCACTGCAACCTCTAGGTAGGGCATTACTACAAGGCTACAACAACTAGATTTGCATTAGTGTCTGTGTTATACCAGGAGCCTTTCCAGGCTCAGATGCAGCCTAAATTTAGGAAGAGGGCAAAGACAGCTTACAAGGTTAGTTTTCCTAATGGACTGAGTTCTGTGCTCACCTCTACAAGATGTGTCACAGATCTTTGCCCAGAGAACCTGAGGTTGTGTAAGTAGAAGAGATGCTAGCAGCTTTATAAAAAACAGAAATCAAGTGGTCTTCATTTCATCCTCTGGAGACCCTGTGAGGCCTCAGGCAACTCATTTCACTGCTCTGTGGCGCAGGTACCTCAGCTATAAAACAAAGGGTTAATAATACACCTCACAGGACTTTAGGAGGCTTTACTCTTTCATGATTGTACCAAGACCTTTAGCATCTGGAAGAAAAGAGGAGTATAAATGCTAAGAGTTTTTTTAGATGAGCAAGAGCATGAAGCGGGCAGGGTCAGAGAGGTAGAAGGCCTGTGTGCTGTAATCCATACTGAGGAACACTGTGACTGCTTTCTGCATGTTTCATTCCTCAGTCAGGCCAGCGCTTGCTATAAATTTTATGTCAAAGTGGCCACAGTTCTACTTCCCCTGGGGCTTTATGTTTTGAGTACTCTCATGTCCTTCCCTTACATCCTGTCACAGAGAGGCATGTCTAATGTGGGTCCTGGCACAGCCTCTTATATATTGCCTTTTGCAGTCCTGCCCCCTGAGCAGCAGGCTGAGCATTTTCCACTCCCCACCGGGGAGCTGAAAAATGATCATGCTTAATGCAGGCACTACCAACCCCACTACCAACTTCTGAGGCGTGTCTAATTAAATTTTTTGTAGACCCTTTCATGAACTCAGATACCCCTTATCTCATAAGCCTGATTTGTCTTGCTTTGGTCATTACTCTGGATCTATCCCTCCAAGCTTTCAGAACCCATTTTTCAGAAAAGGCTCTGGTGCCTTATCACACCTGAATATGTATAACTCACGACAGCCTGCGGAAGAAACGAGAAGTGTTAGTTGAAGTCAGAAAAGAAAAAAGAATAGACCAAAATCAGGCTGCTAAAATTAATAAGCGTGTTTGGATACAGCTATTTTCTTCCAGTTTTCACAAGAACAGTTGGGCTTTGGTACAGTTCAAGCCTCCAGCTGAATTGGTGCTACTGCTGAGAAAAATGCATCTCCTCCAGCAGGAGAGAACTGCTAGAAGCTTCAGCTATGGCACAAACTTGGATGACTATAATGTGCAAAGCTGTGCAGTGACAGAGAGAGGGAAGCTGTGCTAGGAGTGCTACATTTCGCTTGTCCCTGCCATGTAGTGTAGGCAGTGCATGGTTCTGAAACTGAGACAACACTGTTGTATCACCGTGCTGCTGACACCGAGTCACGTTGCAGAGAAGCTAAGGTTCCTGAGAGGACATAGAAAAAGAAATGGAAAACAGGAGTTTCTGTAAGAATGCATGAGTGTAGCAACCATCCTTCTCCTGACATTTACAGCATATGGAATGGGAGGCATAATGGAGTCAAACCTGTAAGTCTTCTGTAAAATGAGTTATACTCTATAATCCTCATGGTCTATGTCTACCACTGACAAGTAGGAGCAGACAGAGGGAAAGAACTGTTCATGGCTGTGATATATCAACACATATGTGAGCAAGAGTGGATGTGCTACAGGAGGTGGCTGCTCTATGCCCAACAAACAGAGCAAAAAGAGGTTTTCTGAGAACACCTTCTCTCTGCTGAAATCTGCAACACCAGAGGGTGGGGAGTAGAGGACCTAGTGGACCTGTTTCCATTTTTTTGGTCACAACGTTCTTTTCTCCACAGTGGACTGCTCACCTCCCTGTCTCTTCACTGTATTGTAGTTCTGATGCTGCGAAAGTGCTTTGCTTGGGCATGTGGGTACATAGACTGGGGGTTGTGGTGGCCAAGCTGTGTTATCATTCTGGTGCTTCTCTGTTCTTTGCCTGTTACTGACTTTGGTCTATGTTAAAAGTGTTGGAATATGTAAGCAGAGAAACAACAGTTGCAATCTCAGCTTCTTCTCCTTTTCTGTCTAGGTTGTGACAAACAGGGACACACAGGAGACCTTGCTGTGCATAGCATATGTTTTTGAGGTATCAACTAGTGACCATGGTGCCCAGCATCACATCTACCGGCTGGTGAAGGACTAGAGACTCTGGCCTGGGTCGTCCATGGGATGCATGTCTAAGAAAAAAGCCTGTGCTTGAACAACCCCTGCCCTCTCATATCAAACTGAAAAATAAACTGCAGATATTGTGTATTTTCAGAAAAGCACCTCTGAGCTGTTTTGTGATTGACAGGGTCAAAGAAGTTTATCTCCATGTTTGTTCAAACAGGAAAAAGACTTGGAGTCAAAGAAACAGGCAAATAATGCTTAAGGCTTTCACCACAAACAGCATCCTCTAGAATGTATTTCCCACAGAGCACACACAGGATGTGATCGTATACATAAAAGGAGTGGTACGCACCTGAGCATATAGGTAGGGCAATGGCAGCAGCTTCTACAAATGTCACCACATATGAACATGTTGAAAATGTTCATGCTACATCTGGTTTGAGTGTGTGCGCTCATACGCATTCATTTGTAGCACATGCACAGACATGCTTACCATACATTTATATAAATGTCAGTTAGACATGTGTGAGCACATGCATGTGTATAGAGAGTGCACATATAACTTATGTACCTGGCTGTTTAGTTGTCCACCTTAGCAGGTGTGCAGTCCCAGGCTCCTTCAGTCTTCCTCCTCTTAGAGGCTGGATACTATTTCTGTCCTGTGCATGATAGTGAGAGACCAACCTTTATTTTGCCTTTTAAATGAAGTTATGCTTAGAAAATTGCATATGTTAAATCATGTCTTGCCAAGCAGATTTCCTCCATGTATCAGGTCTGCTGACCTGACTGACTAAAATAACTTGCTGCTTTTGCTTCTGTTTGCCTTGTGGAGTTAGCACAGTTCAGGGAGCTAGACTCTGCTCTGTGGATTCCATGAAGATACTGTACCACTCTTCCCACAGCATATGTAGTGTCCTGAAGACTTGCATATCTCCTCCAGCTTCCTAACCATCTTTGTGTCCTTTAAAATGTTTCATTTCTGTATTTGAAGTTATAAGTTGTACTCATTCACAAGGTCCACCAGGAGTCTTCTCACAGATTGTTGATTTTGTTTCCTGCACATTTAAATCTCTTCAAATTTTAGATCTTCCACTCCTAAGGAGTGTTCTTTCCATGTTTCATGGACTCAGATTAATACTTTGAATACTTGAAGGTCTCCACTGGGCGTTTTCACGATTATTGTTATTATTCCCCATCCTATCACAGAAATTCATGAAAAATGCTCAGCCAGTCACCTTCCAGTGTTTCAGGGAAGATTCTCTTACTGGAAGAAACTGCATTGTTTTTTAAAGCATAATATGGTATTGAACTCAGTTATCTATTCTAACTCGTCATTATGCTCAGAGAAAGCACTGGCATCTTTCACATCAACTCTGATCTCTCACTTCCCAAGGGTTCTCAGGCTCCTTAGCTTTTCCCCACAAGATGCTTTAGGCAATCTGCTGCTTTAGGTGCTTGTTTCAGCAATGTAATTTTTCACTAGCTCTTCTTGACTGTGTTGACTAGCTTCCTTGTGTGTTTCACTAGCTGCACTGTCTCTTACCCAGCTTAAAACAAGTTCTAGTAAACCCTGAACTTAGTTACCTAATGATAGCTTCAACCACTCCATGCAATACTGAGGAGGAACCTGCTGATGTGTTGAAATCATCATGGTTTTATTTTGAAGGTGGTATTGAAAGCAATTGTTCTTTGCTAGCTTGTAACAGTAGAGAAACATGCAGTGTTTTCCTTAGTGACTTAAATCTTTAGTATTCCTCTGGCTCACTGCTGGCTGATAGTATGGAGTTTCTTTCTCTGAACTGTTTTCCAAAAGTGTAAAAGCTTATTCAAGCCTATAATGCTGCCTCTAGGTTTGTAATAATTAGTTTGTGACCTTAGGATTCAATACAGTCTTTTCTGACTTGTAGCTGGGTGAGTTGGTTCCTCACAAGGAATTAATATTCAGGAAACAGTAAAGATTGAGCTGTTAAAACTTGACTTATAAATCAGGTGAGTTAGACAAGTTTATTATGGTAAAATTTTTATATGGGATCCCCCAATTTTTTTTTCTGAAAAAAAAATTTTTTTTTTCTGAGTACACGTTGGTGTGGCTGTCAGCAGTTAGATGAAAAGCAAATTATTAAAAAGAGCTTTAACAAAGATGACAGATAACTACGTAAACTGAGGGGAAGGTGTGTAGTGAAAAAGAATAGTATAGACCCATTCTCTTTTAACACCATCAGTGGTCTGAAGGAGGGAGAAAATAACAGGGTAAACCTGCAGATAGCATTAGAGGAGATTTCTGCAAGCAGAGTATCTATAGAGAACTTGAGTGACTTGGACACTATTGAGACACTAGGCTTGAACTGTGAGAATAAATACTAAAAAATATTTGAAATATAATTTTAAAAGAACAAGAGAAAGATAGCAAATGGAAGGTAAATTATCAGAAAGCTAATCAGTGCCGGAGAGATGTGGAGTCAGAACGTGTTCCAAAATTGGACAGCATGTCGGAACTAATTGTTAAAGGACAGATGCACAAATACAAAACTTCAGTGACAGAGATGAACATGAGAGCCAGATGAACGTCTCATGGTGCTACCTACTCAGTGAAATGGAGACATACACTGAAGGATGAAGTTTTCACTATCTGTGGAAGAGGTGATGCCAGGCCCCACAAAGGGTTTCATTTGGCCTAGCACGTGAGGAACCCTGAGGATTTCCATTTCAACAGAGATTTCAAAGAGAAGACAAGAATATAGGCTACTTGCAAAGCCCTACTGAATGTGCTTCATATACAGGTATGATTCTAGAGTAGACTAGTTCCAATTGGAAGGGGCCTACAATGACCATCTAGTCCAACTGCCTGACCAATTTGGGGCTGACTGGAAGTTAAAGCGTATTATTAAGGACATTGTCTGAATGCTTCTTAAACACTGACAGGCTTGAGGTATCAACCACCTCTCTAGGAAGCCTGTTCCAGTGTTGGACCACCCTCTTGGTAAAGAAAGTTTCCTAACATCAAGTTTCAGCCTCACCTGGTGTAGATTTGAACCATTCCCACATGTCCTATCACTGGATGCCAGGGAGAAGAGATCAGCACCTCCCTCTCCACTTGCCCTCCTCAGGAAGCTGGAGAGAGCAAGGAGGTCACCCCTCAGCCTCCTTTGCTCCAAACTAGAAAAACCCAGTGTTCTTAGCCACTCCTCACAGGACATGCCTTCCAGCCTTCCACCAGCTTTGCTGCCCTCCTCCAGATGCATTCAACGACCTTCACATCTTCTCATCCTTTTTAAGTTGAGGGGCCCAGAACTGCACACAGTACTTCAGGTGAGGCTAGATCAACGCTGAATGCAGCAGGATCAACACCTCTTTCGACCGGCTGGTTGTGCTGTGTTTGATGCACCCCAGGATGTGGTTTGCCCTTTTGGCTGCCAGGGCACACTGCTCACCTGTGTTGAGCCTGCTGTCACCCTGCACCCCAGATCCCTTTCTGCAGGGCTGCTCTCCAGACACTCCTCTCCCTTTTGTTTCTTCTTACTCTGTTCCAGGTGCAGAGTCTGGCATTTGTTCTTGTTAAATTTTATGCCATGGATGATTGCCCAATGTTTCAATCTATCCAAAACCCTCTGCAAGGCCTCTTGTCCCTCTAGAGAATCAGCAGCACCTCCTGGTTTAGTATCAACAGCAAACTTGCTAATGGTGCATTCAACTCCTGCATCCACATCATTGATAAAAATATTGAACAGAACTGGCCCTAGAATTGAGCCCTGAGGAGCACTGCTGGTGACTGCTCATCAGCCACATGTAGCCCCATTCACTATGGCCCTTTGAGCTCTGCCTTTCAGCCAGTTCTTCATTCAGCACCCTCTGAAGCTGCTTATCTCACAGTATCAAAAGCCTTACTAAAATATGGAACAGCTACATCCACTGCCTTCCCTTCACCCACCAAGTGGGCAATTTACCATAGAAAGATATAAAATTCTTTAGACAGGACTTTCCCTTTGTGAACCCATGTTGACTGATGATTGCGTTGTTCTTTAAATGCCTTTCAGTAGCACCCAGTATGATTGTCTCCATAATTTTTCCAGGTTCTGAGGTTAGACTAACAGGTCTGTAGTTTCCTAGGTCTTCCCTCACACCCTTCTTATTAATTGGAATAACATTGGCTGGCTTCCCATCAATGAGGATCTCCAGTTTTTATGCTCAGGTAAGAACAAGCTGCACCAGGAGTAGCCTTACAACACATAGCCCTGCACTGCTGGAGTCCCAGTGGGCCTGGTCAATCAATTTGATGTGGAAGGGGGACTAATTAACTTAATTCCTCATTAAGCTATTACATGCCACTTGATCTGTAACTGTCCAAGTGCAGGCTTCTGTTTGCATGTAGGAGGTCCCTCACAGGGATGAGTCTTCATCAGATGTTACTGTGGAGCAGCTGACATTGTACTGCCTCTGCCACGCTCACTGCACTTTGCTGCTCATGACCTGCATCTAGGTCACAGCCTGTGCTTTGATGCATGGGAAGGAAAGGATGTGGGTAAGGACAATAGCAAAGATTATGCCGTTAAATCAGAGCTGGAGAAAGATGGTTTGGTTCTTGTTATGGGAAAAGGGCTCCAATTATTTTTTATATATAATGGAAGTATTTTTTCCTCCAGTCTTACAGACTCTGCACTCTCAGAGGCTGCTTTTAAGGACTGTGCAGGGCTAGGGCTGTTAACCTTTGCTGTGCAGAAGCCAAAAGTGGCTAGTAAAGGATAGAAGCATTTCTTGCACTTATTAAGCAAAATCTACACCTTCCTATGTACAAAGTTCCTGCTGTAGCTGCTTTCTCCAAGACAAACAGATGCCTTCAAAATCTGACTTCCAAACAGCAACACAGAGCACAGGTGCCAACAGCTTTTAATAAGATCTGTATGGCTGGTAACCAGAATCAGTCAAGCTTGAAGAAAGACAAGCCAAGTACTTTAAGTACGCAGAAAACACATCCTGCTATTCTGTGCTACAGAAAAAGTAGCAAAAAGTCCAAGCAAACACAGCCCCACTCTTGCCCATCGGGTGCCATTGCCACCCACAGCAAGGTGACCAAACCACCCAGGACTGAATTAACTACTTTTCTGCAAACCAGCCACCCCCCACAATCAGCTACGTAGGTAAGAACAGCACCAACTGGCTA